TCCCTTATGAGAATCGATGTAAAATTAACAAAGTGCAAAAGACTATAATATAAAGCAGTGCACTTCATTCACGGACGGCGTGCTGACCTGGAAAAGCGGCCGACCTATATAACTTTCCAGCGTCCATAAAGGCGCGCGAACCTTTGCAGCGGCAAAGACAAATTCAACGATCTAAGAAACATAAAATATAGAAAGAATCATTAAGTATAATAATGAACAAATAAGCATAAACATTTTATTCGTTATTAATCGAATTATCTCTATAAGCTCGTTTTTTTAGCAAAGATAATCTTTGCAATTTAATTGCTGTTTTACACAACGCAAAAAAATAAATATTACGTAAATACTTTTGTTCTATACTTCTTTAAAAATACACTATCAAATATATATTACCTTAATTTTATATATATGCTTTATATATATATATTACAGAACATCACAAAACATAGTACATAAGTCGAAATTACGCAATTGTCCTTGCGTGATATGGGATCCGCGACTGCCGGCGAAAAATCCCGTTTACAATTGCCGGACTATAAAGCTGTTCTGCCGAACCGGATATTATCTGGCTATTACACGAACGGGACGAATTCGCGGACTCATTGGCAACGAGTCGCACGGTATGTACTTCTATCAATCACGCGACATTAGCACAGTAACTTGGAGGAATATGTTATCTCAGCTTTTCTTTAAATGTTGACTCAAAATAAAAATATCTTATATATTTGCATGTCTATGTAAACTAAAGATTATTTATGTAAACATCTAAACTCGAATTTACTCAATTTTGAATAAAAATGACAAAGTAACACAAATGCTCTTAAAGTAAAAATTTGTACATATGAATATTGTTAATGATATAGAGTCTAGTTCGTGCAAAAACTATGTTTGCAGCTCTACTTCAAGTAACGTCAGTATCTTTCGGCGTTATCAGAATACAAAGCGTGGAAACAAGACTATACTTGGCATTCAATAAGAAAGGACTATTATACGGCGAGGTAAAAGATATCACGTAAGATAGAATAACAAAAGTAGAAAAGCAGAAATCTAAACGTAACGTTTATTAAGAATACATTTACGCACTGTTCTTTGACGCTGTTTGAAACTTTTGTAATTGTTTTTTCAATTAGTTTTTCTGATTTTAATTCTTTCTTTCAGCTAAAAACTAACAACAATACCGAATGGGAGCAATGGAGAATTGGCTCTTACGACGCGTTTCGATCGCACAACTACGCGCATCACGGATGGTGGATAGGGATTAAGAAAAACGGGCGAGTAAAATCTGGATCAAAAACATCCTGGGGACAAAAAGCGATACAGTTTTTAGCTATCCAAGAGAACTAATTGATTAACCAAAACCCTTCAGTATAAAAGAAAAGTGGCATGAAAGAGCCAGTTTTAGTATAGAGCCAAAAAAAAAAAAAACTATTTAAAAAGCAATCAAACATAACGCTTATTGTTTCAATATGTAGTTTACTTATTCCTTTGTGTTATTTAATAAACAAAAAGACAAAATCTAACAAGCTTAATAAACATCACTTAAAAAAAAAGTAAAATTTGGCTCTTTCATAACATAATGATATTGAAAGAGCCATCGAATGTTATGAAAGAGCCGACTCCCTATAACAAGAATCTTTAACTGTTTATAAACAAAATAATAAACAAACTATTAATAGACATTAATACAATTGTTAACAAAACATTAATATAATTGTTAACAAACAATTGTTAACCAAAATGCTAAACCTAGTTTCATAACAATCTCTTCAAAATTAACAAAACCATCAATGTAAATTTATATATTTTTTACTTAAATCTAAATAACTCTTACTTTATTAATCAAATTTTCAAAACAACTTTTAAAATTACAATTGAGAAAAAAAACTTAATCTCTTAGATATCTTTAGAAGCAATTTTGACAAAAATAATTTTAGCATCTCTTTTATCCCACACGTTCTATATATCCAATCAGAATAAAGTTTACACTTGTAACGGTCCGACTTTTCTAGCCCTCGGTTTACTCGGAAATTCTTATTATTATTTTTAATGCTGCGGAGTAGCTCGCCGGGTTAGGGTTCTTTAAGAAAAACTCAGAGTGACTCAGTTTTTATGTTGACAAATTAAAGCGTAGTTTATTCGAAATAAAATAAAGGAAAGATACAAAAACAAACAATATTAAAGAAAAATGTTATATCTCGCAACAAGATATAACAGAAAAGGAGCCAAAACCCGTTCAGTTTTAACGAAACTAAATTTACAGAAATTAAAGAATTTATCAGAAGAATGAATTTAGAGTAAATTCGGTGCGGAGTGCTCGGGGCCCGCTGCATAGCGTTACGAGCCTGCGCTGGAGCGGTGGCGGCAGTGTTCACAGTTTTGGCTTCCTTACAGCATGCTAAAACTGTGAACACTGGGTGGCGGTTGAGCGGCATCAGCGCCACGACGCTCGGACTCGGCGTGCCGGTTGTCGGTCGGGGCTCTCGGCCTCGCGGGGCGGTTGCCGGTTTACCCGGCAGAGAGAAAATAAATTCTCTCTGAGCGGAACGGATGCCGGTTTGCCCGGCGGAGAATTGTAAAATTCCCCGGAAGCGGAGCGGATGCCACTTTACCCGGGGGAGAATTATAAAATTTCCCGGGATCGGAGCGAGTATCGGTTTACTCAGCAGAGAGAAAATAAATTCTCCCTGAGCGGAACGGAAGCCGGTTTACCCGGCAGAAAATTGTAAAATTCCCCGAAAGCGGAGCGAATGCCGGTTTACCCGGCAGAGAATTATAAAATTTCTCGGGAGCGAGTGCCGGTTTACCCGGCAGAGAAAAAATAAATTCTCCCTGAGCGGAACGGATGCCGGTTTTCCCGGCGGAGAATTTGTAGAAATTCCCCGGAACGGAGCAGAACAGATGCCGATTTGCCCGGCTGAGAGAAAGAGTGATTTCTCCCGGTGCGGAACGGAGTCGAATCTCGAGTCGCTCGTCGGTTTTCCCGACCTAGGAAGAGCTTCCTCAGGTGCTTCTCGCTTGATTCGGAGATCGGACAGACATTTTGGCCCCGCTTTTATACCGGAACATCTCCGGATGTTTGTCGCCAAAATCGGAAGGAGCGGGGAAAAAAATGCGAGAAACAAACAAATTGTTTTCGCCGTATGACGCTTCGTGGCGCGGTGTGGCGCGCGGTGCGGGCGGCACGCATGCTGCTATGCAGCGTGTATTTGATACACGCTGCTAGTTTAACAATTTTATTCGGCGCTAAGTGCCGTTTTTGTGCCGAGACGGATGTTCGGTCCCGGCTGTAACGATAGCATCGTTACACACTGAAATCATATTTGCTTACTCTTTTTATAACGTTTAGTGCACACTATACAATTATTATTATTATTTTCTTTTTCTAGTTTCTTTTTTTTTATTTATGATAATATTTTATCAGAATCTGAAGACAAATCATCGTTACATTCACTGTCAGAGCTAGATGTTTTATTAAAAAGATTTTTTGATTGTTTGGTACCGGCTCTTTTATCACACTATAGTCCGGTTTTTTCAAAACTTTTCCTCTTAAAAATTATAATCTCAAAATATACTATCAATTTAACGCTATGAATGAGAAATATTTACATACTTAGGAGACTAAATATATATATAAAATCGTGATATAATAATTTTTGTATTATTTCTTTACACAAAAATGTTAAAAAACGAAGAAATAAAACCCAAAAATTTACTTTTCAATGACAAAATCTTTAATATGATGCACCGGCGCTATTTATTTTTAATAATCTGTCAAATGTTTGTGGATGACACAAGTCTAGTGTTGCTATATAAAAATTAAGACTTCTGTGAGATTTGTTCAGAAACTGTCAAATAATTGAAAATTGCTCTTTCAAAACCTGGCTCTTTCATGCCACTTTTCCTCTAAATCGCGTTTTATTCAAATTCTATTCGTTACGGAAACCGATATTTCTGGAGAGAGAAAAACTCCAAAACAGTAATAAGCGTTTCACATGATGATGCTGTTCGATAATAAGAAAATTGTTCGAGAAGAAGCGATAGAAATTGAACAACACGTTCCATTATAGAATATAGTGTTTATTATAACACTGTGTTTACTCAACAATGGGATAAGTTGTGCTTCTGCTTGTGTCACCCAAATTGAGTCTATCGCAAGTTGCAACTTTTATTATTTCTCATTGTAGATTAATATGTATGTGTGTATTATTATTTATCATTAAGAAAAAAGGGCGAAGGCAATAACGAGCTGTACATCTGATGTTCGGATAAAATTCTTCTTTATTCAGAAATTTGACAAACGTTTCGATCACTATGGAATCTTCTTAAGTGTCTATGCCAGTTGAAGAAAGGAAAAAGGAAGAAAGGCATTCAGTAACCGTAATCTTCCCCTTTCTTCCCTCTCAAACTGGTATGCATAGACACTGAAGAAAATCCCATATTCGATCGAAACGAACGTTGCCGTGGAAGCGTAGTAAAGAGGGTAATTTATGAATGGTGGGGGAAGTGCCTTGGCCTAAGTCCCTTAGGGACTCCGCACGAACTCTTTCGTAGCGCGTTATGTTACGTTACGTTAAGTACTGACTATAAACTTAGATTTGTACGTAAACTTGAATGTTATTCAACGCACAAACAAAATTCACTTAATGTGGCATAAACGTGGTACGTTAAGTTGCTTTTTTTTTTTTTTTTTTATTAGAGTATAAATGTGCCAGAAGAAGCTTTGTCCTATTAAGCTTATATTACTTTTACGAAATCAAGTGTTTTTCTTTAGACTTAGTCACAGGGATTCAATATTGAGATTCGGGAGGAGTAAGCTATAGGGTACTTTCATGGGGAACCTTTGAAATCTAGCTGTGCAGTTTTGTTTTGTTCCTACTACCACGCGATACACGGCCCTTTTTTACAGTAGGCGTATCCATCTGTGTCGGGCTCGTGCTGGAGGTGTTATGACTATGATCGCCTTGTAGGAGGGGAATTAATTCGAAATTTCACTTGAAATAATGTTTGGAGGCTCGATTCAGTTCGCCGATCAAACGATAAACTCGGTTGAAAGGGACCGGCCCGGAAAAAACCTTAGGTGGTGTGCGGATTCGAACTCGGGACCTCCGGGTTCGCAACCCCTGCACTCAAGCCGCGAGACTGGGCCGTTAAGTTTGTTTGTGCGTTGAATAAGGCCTGTTCTACAATGGCTGTGTTCCAAATTTACTGCTAGCGCTGGCAGCACTTGCAAACACCGTTCTAAAATGTGTAATAGCAAGCTATGGCAATGCTGCAAAAGCATAATGATGTCATTAATATTGTCGTCACTTCCTGCTGTGGCTGCTGCAACCATAGACGTATAAGAAATAGACTGCGCGTGTGAGAGGGGAAGTGAGTCAAACTTCGGAGTGAGACAGATGCTTTCACCCGAGTCTCTGTCTCTGTCTTTCAGCACCTGGAGTGGGGACTCCCCACTCGGGAGACAACTCAAATAACGCTATGTAACAGATTCTACGTAACGGCTTTGGTTAGAAACCAATTCTGTAACATTTCTGTTATTTTTTGTATTATTTATTATTTTTCACAAATGTATAATTTAAAAATATAATAATGGTGAAATATTGTTGTGTGTGTCAAGCTGAAGAATCGAAAGCAAACCCTAACCTTATTTTTCATTAGTAAGAAATTATTACTATTATTGTGTAGATTGTAAAAATTAAAATAATGCCAGGTAGATAAAACTATAAAACACAGACACAAACAGAGACTACATGATGTAGTCATCATCTATATAGTCTCTGTCGACATCTATGTAGTCTCTGTTTGTGTCTGTGGTTTATAGTTTTATCTACTTACCAAACTTATTACACATAAAAATCAATAACATTTATTTATTATTTATAAATTGAATTTTATATTCTTTATTG